GAACTAAATCACCCGACATCGCCGCCAGAAACAAACATCCAACATCGCCGTTGGAGAACTAAATCACCCGACATCGCCGCCAAAAACAAACATCCAACATCGCCGCTGGAGAACTAAATCACCTGACATCGCCGCCAGAAACAAACATTCAACATCGCCGCTGGAGAACTAAATCACCTGAAATCACCGCCAGAAACAAACATCCAACATCGCCGCTGGAGAACTAAATCACCTGACATCGCCGCCAGAAATAAATGGGCCATCATAATTAGGCATCCACTTCCCATGCATGTCTTTGTGAACTGGTAATATCTTTTTGAGTACGAGTTCTCCCTATTGGAACTCTTAGATACAAAACTTCTTATCAAAGGCTCTCTTGATCCTCTTCTGATACAACTGGCCATGATACATAGCAGTCACTCGTTTCTTGTCAATGAGATTAAGCTGGTCAAACCTTTCCTTGACCCACTCAGCTTCTTCCAGCTTTGCTTCCATGAGGACCCTCAAAGATGGTATCTCAACTTCAATGGGTAAGACCGTGTCCATCCCATATACTAAAGAAAAGGGGGTTGCCCCTGTTGAAGTACGAACAAACATTCTATATCCGTGCAAGGCTAACGGCAGTATCTCATGCCAACCTTTGTAGGTTACTACCATCTTCTGCACAATCTTCTTGATATTCTAAATTGCAGCTTCAACAGCTCCATTCATCTTTGGGTGATAAGGAGAAGAGTTGTGATGTTCAATCTTGAAACTATCACACATCTCTTTCATTGTTTTTTTGTTCAGATTCGCACCATTATCCGCGATGATCTGGCTAGGGATTCCGTATCGACAAATAATCTCCTTTTCAATGAAATGGCAACCACTTATTTAGTCACGTTAGCATAGGACGTGACTTCCACCCACTTGGTGAAGTAGTCAATGGCAAAAAGAAAGAAAAATTTTACGTTTGAAGCTTTCGGCTCGATTGCTCCAATCATGTCAATGACCCACATTGAAATGGCCAAGGTGATGACAACACGTTTAGAAAAGTTGGAGGTACATGCACCTTGTCCGCATAGATCTGACACTTGTGGAATTTCCTAGAATACTGGATACAATTTTTCTCCATAGTCAACCAAAAATATTTGGCCCTTAGAATCTTCTTCGACATAGCATATTCGTTGGCGTGAGTGCCAAAAGCTCCCTCATGAATGTCTTGCATCAATAGACCAGTTTCTTGTTTGTCAATGCACCTAAGCAAGACCATGTCATGGTTCCTTTTGTAAAGCACATCATTGCTTTGAAAGAACTTGGATGCCAACCTGTCGCGGTGAAAATCGGATACCAAACTATTGATTAGTTTGAATCTTTAATTCATTTTGCAACCGAACTTTGATTTGTCCAAAGGAAGGGATAAAGATCGAAATTCCCACAATGCAATGCAAGTGCAAGGTTTAGAGAGTTATAGGTTCGGGGGTTGGTTAAACTTAGGGAAGGTACTAGCATCCTAAGTTTCTGTAGTACTCTACAGGAACCTCTTGTTTTATGTTGTTTATTGCTAAGTGTTTATCTGCTTAATGGTTGAAAGACCTAGTGGTTTATTTCTAAGTATACTCGATAAGATGTCGCATCTTATGCCTACATATCCTTACGGGAGTGGAATCAGAGTATTTGTAGTTCCCCTAAAGGGTTAGAGGAGCTCTTTGACTGTGGTCAAAGCTCCTACGGGTTTAGGGTAGTTGTTTTGATTGGGTTTAGGAGAAGAGATGAGTCTCCATGTTAAGGGAGATGTAACCACCACAAGTGTAAAGGGGGTTGTAGGAAAATAGTCTTTGCATCGTCTTAAGAAAAGGGCTTAAGTACTCGGATTGTTTGACGAGTATGCCTTTATCACTCTTAAGGCAAAGTTCCTACATGTTTGATTGTATTATTGTGGGGGGTGGAGATTATATCTCACTTAAGATGATTAACATCTATTCTCTAATGTGTTTGAATATTGTATTGATTTGTGTTGGTTGTTTGAATATTGTTTTTGAGTTGAATTGATAAAAGACAAGGTCTTTCCTATGGGGTAGGTCCTAAACTTAAGCGATCAACTTGAGTGGAATCAAGGATCGTGGGGGGGGGGGGGGGGGGGGGGATGATGCAAATGTGAATGCACTACACACAAGTGTTGACTTATGTGTAGGTTTTTTCTTTGGACGGAATGCGATGCGATAAGTGTAAAGGACGGTAATGTAAATTGCTGAAGAATAAATTGCAAGGAAAGTAAAACCATACACACGCATGAAAGCGCTAAGGTGTAGGTGCATGTGTCGTGAATGTGAGTGTGCACGATTAGATCTTATGCGAGAGATTGATTAAGTGGATAAATTGATTATTTTAAACGGATTGGAATTTAGAATTGTTTTTAAGTGGAGATGTTGAATTTGATTAGTGAAATTAGATTGGATTTATAAAAGGCTTTAGGTGAGGTTAAATTGATTATTTTAGTTTTAATAAAAGTTCTCTAGGTGGATTTTTTGAGAAAAGGGTTGGATTACTCTTCTTAGCAAAACTAAGGATTATGTATTAATTTGGGGCTTGTGCATAGAAACATCCTTACATAAATAATGAATTTGAGAAAAAAAAGGTTTATTAAATAAATGGAGTTTTATCTTAAAAGGTTATTATAAAATGAGACAAGTTTAAAGGAGGTTATTATGAAAGTAGTTTAGTATATTTTTTTTTATGAAAATAAATTGACAAGTTATAAAGAAAGTTTATTATAAAAAGGAATAAATTAAGTTTATTTTAAAAGGTTATTAAGAGAAATTTGAGGTTGAGAATTACTTATATTTCTAAAAAAATTGGTTACTATTTCTTTTTATTAAAAGGATTTTATTAAATAAAAGTTGCATGGAATAAGCTTTTTGTTATATTATGACAGGTTATTAAATTTAAAAGCTAAAAGGTTTAGTTGTTAATTAATAAAAAAACTGATAAAAAAGGGGATTAATTAAGTTGATATATTAACATGATTAAGTTAATGAATTGGTTAATTAAAGAAACAGTCAAATTTTAAATTTAGGTGAATTGATTAGGTTAATTAATTTTAAAGTTAATGATTATGAAATTAATTAATTAATTAGATTAAATACGATTACTAGGTTAATTAGGGGGGAGATTAGGGGTTAACGAAGAGGTTAGGTGATTGAGTGTAGTGTATGTGGGTGATTTATTACAACAAAAACCAAAAATTAAAAAAAAAAGACGTAACCCTAATCCTAATTTCCTTCCCCGTGCCGTTTTTCTCGCTTTCGTCTTCTCTCCCTCGTCATCTCTTTCTCTCATTTTCTATCTTCTTCCCCTCCTGAAACGAAAATCCCGAGCAAGACCTAAACAATGAAGAAAAAAAACAAATCAGTCGAAAATAATAAAAGGAAGAGGGTTACGAGGGCGACGATTGAGATTGACGGAGGTGTTCTCGCTGAAGATGGTTGACGGCGACGGAAGAGTCTCTCCGGCGACAGATCCGCGATGGAGCTTGCAAAGATGAGTTTCTTTCTCCCTTTTTTTGGGTTCTCTTTTGTGAGTGTTGTGAATTTCTGTTAGGGTTTTATGTTTGGGGATTCTTGAATGTTGCCTCCGTTTGTGGATTGTTTTTTTTCTGAGTTGGGGTTTCTCTGTTTCGAATTGATTTGTGAACCTGGAGTGGATTTTCTCTGTATCCCTTTTTTTCTGCTATCTCTACTTTATAGCCTCAGAAGAATTGTAATATTGATTTGAGTTGAATGGTGATTATTTTGCTGTCGGTTCTTGCTTTGGTAGGAACATAAGACTTGTGATTTATATTCCTTTTAATCCGAACGTTGTCTGATTACTTTGATTTCTTTCCTTCTTTGCATCAACATGTCTGGTCTAGCTTTTTTGAATGAATTTATGGCTTTAACTCGGAAGGTTTTAATCGCTGCTTGATTGCGTAATTATGGTGATAGGATTTCATTTGGTTTAGACATGCTTTAAACTCATTCCAGATCATTCAATTCAAGTTGATGGTTCCTTGAATGTGCTGACTATTACCGTCTCTAATCATTTGCAGGTGAGGGACACAAATTTTACTCTTCCAGTATTGCACGAACAAGAACTGGCCAAGATAAGGAATACGGTTCTAACAACCGCTGCCAAAAGGTTTGTGTGCCAACGTCCTTGTTGAATTTCTACTATATTTTGGAAATGGTCTTTAAGCTCTTGGCGTAGTCTTTAGCATTTGGATACAACCATGTCAAGGCTTGTATTTCCTCCTTTCTCTGATTCTAAAGTTCATGGTATTTTGCAGTTCGGGAAGGTGATCGAACAACAGCTATACAATATGAGTATGTCGGCGTTGTCTTCGGTTTCTTTCCACGCCGGGGAGTAGCTTTATCATCTTCAATTTGGAAAATTCACTTGGAGCCCATGAGTTCTTCTCAATGTGGTGTCCAAGGTACCTGAACTTCCGTTTATTCAAGTTAAACGGTAGTATTGTATTGTGACTCTTCTTGTGCTGCAGCTTGGTTTGACTTGTTCCTTGCTTTGCAGGTCGCCTAAAATATCGTTGTCGAAGGTTATACCATGTTGGGAGGTTAGTTTAGTGTATGAACTGTGGTGATGATCGTTGAAGCATGCCGATAATTAGAATAATCAAGCCAACTTCAAGGTTGTCTTGAAGATGAGGTAAACTAAGATGCCGGTTGCAAGTCTGAATATTGTTATAAACTGTGCTTTGATTGTGTTGCTTTTGTCAAATAATCCAACATCTTCCCTTACACAACATGCCCTGTTGGTTTTCTTTATGCAGGGATTTAAATCACTTCCTCTTTTGTTGACAGGTTTGTGGGTTACGGGTACTTCTGTGTCACGACTCACCCAAGCATAAGCCCTTCTAAAACCATCAGAAACATGAAGTTCTCCATATGAATGCGAGGTTAGGACACCGGCTGGACAAGCTTCTGCTGCGGCCCATATAGAAGGTGGCCAGCAATATAAGTAAGACAATGATGATGGATGTTTCAGAGGTAGCACCGAGAGTCCTTTCTTAATTTTGACTTGCTATGAGGCCTTTTTGAAATGATGTTAATGATGATGAAATGCACTAACATGAGTTTTGGTCTGCACATGAAATAAAAGGGCATAGTGACATTTCGGGCTGCTTCAAATTGTTGGAACAAAAGTCATGATTAAGTGGACAATAGGCGACACACGCTTGACGTTGCACTGGTTTGGTGGTTTGGATCTTTGTTCCTTGGCTTGTAAGCTGATAGGCTTTAGGTTGATTAACTTTAAGTATGCTTGCAGACGGTCCTTCTCATCTTTCATCTTTCTAGGACTTCTAATCTTCAACTATTTTCCTTATGGCATTCGTAGGTGTTGCTGGCCGGCGGTAAGTTCGCTTTCTCAATTTGATCATGAACGTTATTGTATGTTGTTCCCCGCTGGCTGATGCTCTGACCTCTCATTGTGAATGCAGGTTGTGCGTATATGTTTAAAACGCGTCGGTGGAAGTTAGGGCTGTAACCTTCAATTTGCGAGCTTCTACTTGTTCACACCTCTTCGGTTTTGCCTGACTGGTGTAGTGTACAGTTGCAGGACGCTGCAGAATTTGGAAAAGGTGAAACCATTTTGCTTCACTAAATTGGCCTTGTTTTGCTTGTAATATGGCATGAGTTTGTCTGACTTTGGATATGCTTGACAGGTTGGAATGACAACCTGCGGGTTCGAGGCATTGCGAGGGTTGTGCGGGTTTGTTGTTGACGGTCGCGGCAGTACCGGCAGAGGCTTTGAAGATGTTATTAGAGAAAGCAAAGTGTAACTGGTCTGTAATATTATAACTTGGGAACCAGTGTCACCCTGGGTCAAATAATAGGGATTAATTCACCATTCTAGTGGCGTGTTATTATTATGAAGCTTGTAATGACATAGTTGTCTGTGAGAAAAGGCTGGTGTCTGGTAGCGTGAGTGTACTTTGGCTTTGGATTGGCCATTTGAGTCTCGTATTTCAATGATAAATTTGTAATAAAAAACTGGCGTTTCCTCCATTAGCATGTAACACTTTTTATCCATATGATTAGCTGGTTTCATTATGGCTATTGAATTGCGGTATGGCAATTTGGATACCATTCTTGGAACACCAATGCACCGTTCACTCTCAAAGTAAAGGTTGAGTTCACGAAAGACTTGCATCCATGAAAGAAATGATCCTTTTAAGTTTTCAGCACACTTAACCTTTTCAAAATGAATAACATGATGTTATGTTGTTATGTTGACCGTGAAAGTGGATGAACTTGAAAAAAAAATGGTACTGATCAGTTTGGAGATGGATGCTGAAAATAACTCCCCTATGCCCCTGAGGTGTACATGAAACCATGAATTGGTTTAATTTCAAACCAATCATAATCCTTTGAGTAAAATCTCCACCCGCGTAACACTTCGAATCCATAAAAACTAAAGCAATCCTCTTGAAGATGACAATCCTTGAAGTACTTGATTGAGAAAAAGGGGAGAGTACTGTCTATTTTGAAATTTGGGCCTGCACCAAATGGTTAGTCGTAACTAAAAATAAATAAATAAACAAATAAATTAATTAAAACCGAGCAAAAAAGCAGAAAACGAGGTGGGATCTTACGGTCAAAAATTAGGGTGCAACAGATGCCCCTATTTAAGTTACTTCTATCCGGAGATATGGAGATTGGAATCTTCGTCTCGACGAGATAGGAGGGACTTAAATACAAACATTGCACGAATTTTTGGCCTTAAGAAGCCACCGAATAAAATGATATGCAATGATATGAGAAATGCAAGGCAGAGGGTCCTATGGAGAAATGGCGCTACAGGGGAGAAACTGAACACGACATACGGGAAGAACATGCTCAACGAGCGAGGCTCCCCGGGGAAAGATTGACGATCACAAAGTGTTTGTAGATATGTTGCGAAGGCACTGGTGAGAAAAAAAAATCCAACTGAAGCTCCTACTGCATATGTCAAATGTAATGATTCCAAGATATCAGTCGGAGAAGTCTATGTCGAGTCTGGTAACTTCATGGAAGGATGCTTTTGTCAAAGCATCTATTGTCAAGAACTTCTAGGGAATCTGCTGTCGAGATTCTATGTTGTAGTCTGTTGGAGAAATACTTCCGTCGAAGTCTTCCGGAAGTCTACTGTCAAGATTAACCAGGAAATGAAATGGTACCACCTACTGTCGAGGTCTTCTGGGAATCTACTGTCAAGATTAACCAGGAAATGAAATGGTACCACCTACTGGGTCTTCTGGGAATCTACTGTCAAGATTAACCAGGAAATGAAAGATGTTCGAGTGATTGTCGTTGTAGACTGTAGTTGTAAATCGTTGTTGTAGATGTAGAACTTCCCCGAACCTCATAGTCTGGATGCTATGAGCCGGTCTCGGTCCCTTCCCAAAATGATGAAAACTCGTGAGAGCACCTTCATAGGGGTTGTAGATTTTGTAGATTGTAGATGTAACTGTGGCTGTAAATTGTAATGTTGATGTAGATTGTAGATTGATGTAAATTGTAGAACTCTGTAGATATAATTGTGGATCTTCGGCTGTAAGCCATAACGTCGTTGTAAATTGTAGATGTCGTGGTAAATGTAGAACTTCCCCTTGCGTCATGGTATGGGAACCATGAGCTGGTCTCAGTCTCTGATGTAGAACTTGTAGATGTAATTTGTAATGTAGTTGTAAATTGTAGATGTAGTTTGTAAAGCTTCACCGGGGATCTTCAAAGGAGTTGTAAACCGGTTGAGTTGTAATGTACGTCTTCTCAAATAAAGAGAGACTATTGTGATAAACTTCTTCGACTTCTTCAGGGAGATGTCACTTGACGGAAGTAAACTTGTGTAATGAACTCACTGGGGAATAAATTTCTGAAGAGTATCTCGTTGTAGTTGTAAGTATGTAAGCTTCTGGAGGTGAACGTTTCTCAAATAAAGAGAAAACATCTGTGAAGTCTTTGATGAACCACTCTGATGGATTTCCGGAGAGACGCCATTTGAAAAGTTGATAATCTTGATAACCCATTGGGGATGTGCAAACTATTTTGAGGGGACTGCCCTTTGTCGTTTTGATAGAAAACCTGATTAAAACGAGTTGCTCAAATAAAGAGGTTACTTGCAAACCGGATGCAGATCGTTGGAAAGATGTCTTGCAATATTGTTGGAGAGATATCCGTCTTCAATAATTATCTTCATGAAGACCTTTTCTGAGGAGAACAGTGCAAAAATAAATGCACACTTGATCCATGTTCAAAAGTTTGGCGATATCCACCAATGTGATTGTCAGGGACCGAAATTCAATTCAGGAAATAACTGAAAAGAGACTGTCACGTAAGACTCGACCATAGAGGTATGTACTCAAATGAGAATGTACTGAAGAAACCGTCTTCCACGAGAATCGAACTTCGTGGGGAAAATAGAAATATTGCGCTTTTTCTGCCTATGGGTGACAATTCTATTTGGAAGGAGAAGACACGCCCAACCACTTGTGGATAAACACGACCAAAGCGACAGAATAACACACACACAAAGATGCACAAATGCAAATGTTATGTTATCTATTTATATGAAATGTGTATGCTTATGCTGACAAAACAGACGAAAGCAACAACTGAAGATGGGATAAACATTCGACTAATCTTCAAAGATAGAAGTATCACTGGGGATATGCGGAGAACCAGATATAGGATCTCAATCCTGCTTCAAAGCTTCAAAAACCTCAACTGGGGGAGTAGAGAACACTCCACTCGGGGATATAACAACTTGATAAGTCTGAAAGATTACCCTGTTGAAGACGAGGATAAAGATCCACTAGGGGTGGATCAAACTCATAACTGTGGAAACTTCCTGGATAAATATCCGCTTTACTGGAGAGGCTCATGCTGGAGAAGATCGATGTTGAAGAAGGTCCATTGAGGAGTACAACACGTCCATTTCACTGGGAAGGTGAAGTTGGAGAAGAAAATCACTGAGGATTAAAATATCATCCACTTTATTGAGGAAGTGAAGTTGAGCAAATCACTGGGAATTCTGCATTGAAAAGATTCATCGGAGAACTGTCATGACCACCAGAATTAAAATTTACTGGGGACATGGAGAGTGTTGCAGAACAAGGTGACTCTGACTTGATGAATTGTGTAATAGTCGCCATTTGAACAAAAACTTGTTGAGTGGGAAAGATAATCCTTGCGTCTCAATTGCCCCAAGTCATGAGAAAAAGTCATTCCAAGAGGATTTTACAGAAAACAAGGCGTCCCACTGTTTTCAAACTCTCTAGAGAGATTCGTTGAATCTCGACGTAACGGACCCTGATTGACGATATGGCGAGTCTTCAATCTTGCTCTAGAGGTGAAGTCAAATTTGCACCGAACAAACCACTTGGAAATAACTTGCCCCATTTTAGCAGAGTCTTCGAATTCCAATAGGACAAACTTAATGCTGACGCTTATGTGTAATCTTCTATGATATCAGGCCAAATTAATACGCGTGAAATGTTATTCCTGAAACTGTTAATGCAACATATATGTTTGTCTTGAAGTTTTTTTTGAAAAGGATATATCACAACCACTTGTGACAGTCACTAGCTGGGGTATGAACTAATTTATAAGCCAATATAGATAGTTGAGCATAGCCCATAGGAGTCAGGAAACGTTATCTCTCTGAGTATGCTTTTGAAGTAAACCTTACCTCAATTAGGACTTTGGAGGGTCATATGCGGGCTTAGTTTATGATTTGTAAAAGAGGGGATAAAGGTCAAAGCTTATTTGTACCCATCCATTTTGAAAAATGTCCATTCTCTTTTTTTTAAAGGTTTTAAGTGCTTAATCAAGCTGATTAAAAAAAAATGCCCCAAGTTAGAAAATGAGGTTGAAAAATGGTTAAAGGGGAATTAACCGCTTTATCTAGTGTTTAGAAAGCTTTTGAAATAGTGCCTTACATCATCAGTAGGTTTTATTCGAAAGCATACCACAATAGATCATGCGTTTTACTTCATCATTCTCCTTCCAATTTCCCATCTAAGCAAGAGATTGGGTAGCATTGGCATTATAATTTATGAAAATGGTTTTTGAGTGAAAACGAATGGATTTATTCAAGACAAACATTTATTGCATTACTTATTCAAAATAAACAAGTTCTCACATGCTAATTATGCTTTTAACCAAAGAAAATAA